CACTGGTGGAGTGGCTTTTATCTGACAGATAGGTTAAGCAGAAGTTGAAGCAGATCGACTTCCTTTCAACTGCACTGGTCACACATGGATCAAAATTCGCCCAGTAACCGCTGAACAGGCAGAATTTCGATCCATCCAAGTCCACCTTTAGCAAAAATAAAAACCCAAAATGCAAATGATTTTGTGCATTTTTGAGCCTGAAAAGCATTGCAACGATCATTGGGTGGTGGATACAGGCTCCTGCAGACAAAACAGTTCTTCTCCCTGTCAGCTCGTACACACTGCTTTGCATGGCTGTGCATAGCACAGCCATGCAAAGCAGTGTGCTTACAGTGAAGCACAATCACATAGCCCCTAGTAAAACAGCACACAGATAACCCTTTGATTGCCCCATGTTCACCCCTTCCTGCCCAGTGTCATTAGTACAGTGTCGGTGCTTTTTATTAGCACTGATCACTGTATTGGTGTCACTGGGGATGTCAGTGACACCACGTCAGTTCCCCCCAGTGTCAGAATGCCCGCCGCAGTCCCGTTATAAGTAGCTGATCGCTGCCATTACTAGTAAAAAATCCAGTATCTATACCGCCATTTGTAAACGCTATAACTTTTACGTGAACCAATTAATTTTCACGTATTGGGATTTCTTTGTAGCAAAGACATGGAGCAGGATACATTTTGGCCTAAACTTATGACGAAATTTGATTTTTTTAACTGAACATGTTTAATAGCAAAAAGTCAAAAATATTGTTTTTTTCTCAAAATTGTAGGTCTTTTTTTATAGTGCAAAAAAAAAAAAAAAAAAACCACACATGCGACCACCGAAAGACAGCTCTAGTCGTGGAAAAAAAAAGGGCGTAATTTAATTTGGGTGCAGCGTTGCATGAGTGCGTAATTGTCAGTTAAGGTAACACAGCGCCGTAATGCAAAAAATGGCCTGGTCAGGAAGGGGGGCGGGGAAATCCTCTGGAGGGCAAGTGGTTAAAAAGGAACCAAACAACTATTTTATAATAAATGGCTTCATGTCATCGTTATCCTTATAGAGTAAGTTCACCTTTGGGAACCCGTTTTTAAGGTGGAACATGTAACAGGTTCCCATAGCCGCGGCTCGCTGTCCTCCCTCCCTCTGACAGATATTATGGGGAGAATTCTCCCCGTACGATCTGTCAAATTTGAAAACAGTGTGGCCGTGCAGAGCTCCGCCCACACAACCACATCATTCATTCACAGACTTCCGTGAATGAACTGCAAGTCCCGACAGCCTTAGCGGATGTTAGCTTGTAGTTTTCAATGAACTACCATGGCACTGTGGAGCGCCATAATAGTTCACTGAAGCTTCATGTCAGAATATCTGCTTGCTTGTGCATCCCGTACAGCAAGCAGATATTCTAGCAGGTCTGCAGGAGACCTGCATGGCACCAGCGATCTGATCGCTGGTGCAATACTTTCCAGGCTCCTGTAGACAAAAATAATAAATGAACATTTTTTTACCTGCAAAAAAATGTGCATTTGTTATTTTTGTCCAAAAGGTGAACTTGTGCTTTAACCACTCCCAGTCCAGACACTTTTACCTGTCCCGGCCAATTTTCAGCTTTCAGCGCTATCACACTTTGAATGAAAATTGCGCGGTCATGCAACACTGTACCCATATTAATTTTTTAGCATTTTTTTTTTAAGACAGATAAAGCTTTATTTTGGTGGTATTTATTCACCACTGGCATTTTAATTGTTTTTGCTATGTAGATGAAAAAGTCCAAAAAGTTTGAAAAAAAAAGTGTTTTTCTTATAAAATTTTGCAAATAAATAATATTTCATCATAAATCTTGGCCAAAATTTATTCTGTTATCTATTTAGTAAAAAAATAAATAAATAACCCAAATTAGTTTATAACCAAAAATTATAATTTTTAAACATTTTTTTTTGACATTTGCATTTTTTTTTTGTATTATTTATGTTTTTTTTTTTTTTTTTACACCCTAGCAGTACTGTGTCACCATGGTGACACTGTACTACTTGTGGGGGGTGATGAAGATTTTTTTTTTTTTTTTTTTTTTTACACTGAAAGGCTGTAAAAGCAATCATTTCTTCTCTCTGGCTGCATTCTTGCAGCCATTGAGAACTACTGTGTGAGCTGTGATTGGTCACAGCTTGTCACATGGTACAAGGATGTTGTGAATAGCCCTGTACCATGTGATCTCTGTGATCATTCACAGATTTCACACGTAGTAAGGAATGATGTCAGAAGTGACATCTTGCTTACTACTCTGCATGTGATCACTGATTGGCCAATCAGTGATCACATGATCGGGACCTCGCACAGAGGTCCTGTACGACGATTGGTGTTCCACTGTATCCGGAAGGCACAGCGGGCACCGGATTGCGGTGCTGCGCGCTCCCAGGGAGCGTGCACAAGCAGGGGGTGGGGAGGCCATTTATATACAACGGCTGGCCGGGAGGTGGTTGAATAAAGATTTTATGATTTCAGCCAGGGGATAAAAACTTTTGAGCACAACTGTTTGTCTTATGTAAACAAAGTTTTGGAGCCACACAGGGTCTGTCAAGGAAACCTAGTCACAATGTTGCTTTGAGAAAGGGACCCTACGTGGCCCCAAAATTTGTCTACACATGATATTTGTGATTTTGCACCAATAAAAATTTATACTATTTTCTACTGTGGTGAGATACAACAAAACACCCATCTGCTGCAAAGGTCAAACACGGAGTGCAGTCCATACCTATATTATTGCATCATGACAGGTTACTCTCCTAATTTAGAACACAAACATGTCTCCTCCCCCCCCCATCTCCATAACATAGGAAGGAGGGATTATGTAATTCACAGAAGATAGGTTGGAAAGCTGCTAACATTGATTTCAGGTCAGTACACAGGTAGTGACAAGGATAATACATTTATAACAAATCAACAAACATTTTTCTGTACTTGGCCTGGTAGAACAGTATCAGAGTGCAGAGTTCACGGGTGGGCTACGTGGAGTTCACGGGTGGGCTGCGTACAGAGTTCAGGGGTGTGTTACATACAAAGTGCAGAGTTCAGGGGTGCCATACGTATAGAGTACATGGGTACGCCATGCACAGAGTTCAGGGGTGTTATGTACAGAGTGCAGAGTTCAGGGGTGTGTTACATACAAAGTGCAGAGTTCAGGGGTGCGATACGTATAGAGTACATGGGTACGCCATGTACAGAGTTCAGGGGTGTGTTATGTACAGAGTGCAGAGTTCAGGGGTGTGTTACATACAAAGTGCAGAGTTCAGGGGTGCGATACGTATAGAGTACATGGGTACGCCATGTACAGAGTTCAGGGGTGTGTTATGTACAGAGTGCAGAGTTCAGGGGTGTGTTACATACAAAGTGCAGAGTTCAGGGGTGTGTTATGTACAGAGTTCAGAGTTCAGGGGTGTGTTACATACAAAGTGCAGAGTTCAGGGGTGCGATACATATAGCGTACATGGGTAGGCCATGCACAGAGTTCACGGGTGTGCTATGTACAGATAGCAGATTCAGGGGTGCACTACATACAGAGTACAAAGTTCAAGGGTGCGCTATGTACATCTCACTTCCACCCCTCCTCAGTTTGACCTCTATAACACTCTTCTCCATTTCCCACACATCTCCCTCCACAGATTTAATCTCTCCCCCCTCCTTCCCCCAAAGCTTCCTTGAATCTCACCTACCTAGCCTGGCTCTAGAATCTCCCTGCAATGTAGGCGATAGAAAACTTGTGGGGTGACATCAAAAATGCAGTTTCTGAGGCAAAACCAAGAAATAGAGAAGAACTGTGGAATGTGGTCCAATCATCCTGGGCTGGAATACCTGATCACAGGGGCCAGAAGTTGGGTGACTCCATGCAACACAGATGTACAGCAGTTCTCAGAAACAGTGCGACTACAACCAAATATTCATGAAGTCATTCAAAGGAAAACAAAATCTTCAAACATTTCTCAGTTTATATAGTGAATGTTTGAGTTTGTAAAGAAGAATACAAACACGGCGATTTTTTTGAACAGTCTAATATTCACTATTCTTCCATTTTTTTTAGATGAACAACACAAATTTGATGTATTTTTCTTCATGTTTTGATTTGGAATAGAATGTGTCGTGTTCCCAATGCATTTGTGTGGATGGAAATAAAAGCTATTAGAAGGATTTTCAGCTTTATTCACTTTTTTCAACACACTGCTATTATTTTGAACACAACTGTACTTTAAGAGGAACCTTTCAATGATTTCAATATGTAAAACAAAAAAAGGTCCCAATTTTATAACCGATTTGAAATGCATTCCCATAGAAAGTACAGCTTGATTCCCCGCCCTCTGCGCACAGGGCCTTCCTGGATGGGGTAAAAGGCATTCCTTAAGGTGCAGCACAACAGGACTATTCACCGCTATCCTAAATCTCCACACCAGCTGCTTACGGCGTGCCCCTTTATCTTCGCTCTGATCAGGCTCTCCCTTTACAGCCCAGCAGCCAAAAGCACTGTTTGCAGCCAACGCTGCGCAGGGAAAAAAAAAAAAAAAAAAAAAAAAAGGAAGAAAGCGAAATTGCAAATCAATTTTTCGGGAGAAAATAATGGCTGCATTAAAGCCGCAGAATGATTTCTATAAAAAATAATTATAGCTTTAAAAGGCAAACAATTAGCATAGCACATTACAGGAGTAAGAAAAGAGAGCGCATAACAGCCGATACGTTTATGATCCCGCTTTGGCACGCTGACTTACTCCAGAAATCTGTTACAGTGGAAAAATGACTGAGTGAAGCGGGCTTTTAATGATGCAATATGTGGAATATCTTGGCACCGGGCTCCGAGCAAGGAGGGGAGGGTTTAAAGCACTCAAAAACTCCAGACCGGCAAATAAGATGTAGAACAAGCAGCTCTGGTTACTAGGGGCCCCAGTGCAGCTCTGAGTTCTGGGCACAAATCCCCAAAGGTCATCCGCAAGTGATTCCTGTGTACGTGAAACACAACAGAGCACCCTTCACCCACCTCAAAGAGGCCGCGGTCCACGGGGAACAACCTCTGGAGGACTTGAAAGATTTGCTCAGCGTCTGTCAGGAAAGGCATCCAACAAAGGGCGAAAGCGCCAATGACGGTCGCTCCGATCTTTAGCAGGAAGAGGAACCTGAAGAAAGGGAAAATAGACAGCTTGAGATAATAGGCAATGGGGGATTTCTCCGATTTAAAAGCAGCACATTTTATTTAAAGACTTCCAGTGACAACTTGTGACAAGATGTCTCCATTAAATGGATAAGTGGCAGAGAGCACAGTAGGGGACGACCCTGTAAAGTGCTACAGGGACAAGCTAAAGTGACAACGGCTGTTAAGTGAACCTTCCATAGAAAACAAATAATAATAAAGACGGGGTCAATACAACATTGAACATTTCATTAAGATACTTTAAGCATTCCTTGAAATACTGACATATACACATCTTGTATTTTTTCAGTATGATCAGCTTTTTATGTAAAAAATAAATAAAAGGTAGAAGAATGGTGAAAAAATGGTTCATCGCCCTATACGTCCTGAACAAAAAATAAACAAAAAAAAACTACTGACATATCTTTTGAAATCTTCTAACCCTCTTGTATTGAACTGTATTGTTGCTGTATTGTCTCCCGTTATATTGTAAAGCGCTGAGCAAACTGTTGGCGCCAAATAAATCCTGTATAATAATAATAATATAAATCCTGTATAATAATAATTCCTCCTACCAGTCCATCCCCCACAGTTATTACCTTTTGTACCACTAGCCCCTCCCTCTTAGATTGTAAGCTCCCAGGATCAGGGACCTCCTCTCCCTCTTGTATTGAACTGTATTGTTGCTGTATTGTCTCCCGTTATATTGTAAAGCGCTGAGCAAACTGTTGGCGCCATATAAATCCTGTATAATAATAATAATTCCTCCTACCAGTCCATCCCCCACAGTTGTTACTTTTTGTACCACTAACCCCTCCCTCCTAGATTGTAAGCTCCCAGGATCAGGCCCTCCTATCCTTCTTGTATGGAACTGTATTGTTGTTGTATTGTCTCCCGTTATATTGTAAAGCGCTGAGCAAACTGTTGGCGCTATATAAATCCTGTATAATAATAATAATATATAAATCCTGTATAATAATAATAATAATTCCTCCTACCAGTCCATCCCCCACAGTTATTACCTTTTGTACCACTAGCCCCTCCCTCCTAGATTGTAAGCTCCCAGGATCAGGCCCTCCTATCCCTCTTGTATTGAACTGTATTGTTGCTGTATTGTCTCCCGTTATATTGTAAAGCGCTGAGCTAACTGTTGGCGCCATAAATCCTGAATAATAATAATAAATCTGAAATCTCATATTGTCATAGGTGTGTGTAGTTCTCTGTACAGTCATGGACAAACATATTGTCCCTCCCCGCATTCCTGTCAGATAATGCACTACTTCTCCTAAAAGTTGTTGCAATTACAAATGTTTTGGCATTCTCATGTTTATTTCTTTTGTTTGTATTGGTATGACACAAAAATAGCGGAGAAACAAAAAGCCAAATCTGACACATTCCATGGGAAACCCCAAAAATGGACTGGACAAAATTATTGGCACCCTCAATGTAATATTTGGTAGTGCACCCCTTGGAAATTATAACTGAAATCAATGGCTTCCTAAAACCATCAAAGAGTTTCTTCCACCTCTCTACTGGAATTTTGGATTGCTCTTCTTTCGCCAACTGCTCCAGGTCTCTCAGATTGGAAGGGTTCCTTTTCCCAACTGTTGTTCTGAGATCTCTCCACAGGAGCTCTATGGGATTGAGATCTGGACTCATGGCTGGCCAGTTCAGTCCTCTCCAGCACTTTGTCTGAAACCATTGCTGGGGGCTTTTTGACATGTGCTTTGGGTCATTGTCCTACTTGAAGACTGATGACCTCTGTCAAAGACCCAACCTTCTGACACCGGACCCTACATTGCACCCCAGGATTCTTTGGTAATCTTCAGATTTCATAAAGCCATGCACACAGTCAAGACACCCAGTACCTGAAGCAGCAAAGCAATCCTAAAACATCAGTGACCCCCCACCATGTGTGACTGTATTATTTTCTTTATAGGCCTCATTTCTTTTTTTGAAATCAGTAGAATTTACCAAAAAGCTGCAATTTGTTTCGTCTGTCCACAGCACATTCTCCCAAAAGGATTTTGGCTTCCTCAGGTACGTTTTGGCAAACTCCAGTCTGGCTTTATGTTTCTGTGTCAGCAATGGGGTCCTCCTGGGTCTCCTACCTTAGTGTCCCTTTTCATTCAGATGGTGACGTATAGTGCGAGGTAACACAGTTTTACCCTGTACAGCCTGAATTTGTCTGGATGTTGATCAAGGTTCTTTATCCACCATTCGAACAACCCTTCGTTGCAATCTTTGATCAATTTTTTCTCTTTTGTCCACGTCCAGGGAGATTAGCTACAGTGCCATGGGCTGTAAACTTCTTGACAATGTAGCACACAGTGGACACAGGAACATTAAGATCTGTTAATTGATACAGGTGAATTTAATTACAAATTACAGGAGCATCACTAACTTGGAATGCAATTATTTCTTACAATTTTGAGAAGGTGCCAATAATTTTGTACAGTCCATTTTTGGGGTTTTGCGTGGAATGTGTCAGATTTGGCTTTTTATTTCTCCACTTTTTTGTGTCATACCAATACAAACAAGATAAACATTACCTGACAGAAATGCAGGGGTGCCAATATTTTTGGCCATGCTTGTACATGTCTAGGGGTGGGAATGGGGATGTTTAAATTTTCTGTTTATCTTATTCCATTATTTTTTAACATCACTTGTCCAGTTGTGAGCTTGTTTTAACCCTTTTCATGGTACCTGTCATTTTGTATGGCTCTATTCGCGCCGTACCCGCACCAAAAAGGTGCAGGACCCTTTTTTGGTTCGCACTAGAATCGGATCGTTTAGGTATTCACACCTATGCGATCCGATTCTGCACATTGCACCGCGTTTTGCCGACCAATTTCGGGGTGTTAACATACACACCCGCATCGGTTTGTATGAACGGGGTGCGATTGTGATGCGGTGTGGAATTCGCACAGAAAACGCTGCAAATTCCGCACCGCATCAGTGTGAACCAGAGCTTACTACCCCATGGCTACCCAAGTCAAAGCAGCCTAAGAAACTTTCATTGAACAGGTTGATGTCATTTTTGCTTTTGCCCATAGTTCCACAGACAAATCTTTTGTGGGCACTACAGATATACTAAGAAAGTAAGACTTCAGATCTCTGGCTACTTACCCCCGGCCCAGAATTCCCTTCCGGAAACTTTTCCCCAGGAGATAGCAGAAGAAAGGTAGGGAGTGATAAAGCTCCATCTGCTTGTAGTTTAACGCAAAGCAAAACGCCAGCGAGCCCAGCGCATCCCATCCACGGGAGAGAGCGATGACTGCCCACAGCCCCAAACCCAGACTCACAGAATTATATGTGTGTTCGTGTTAAGGGCAACAGAGGCATTCTTCATAGGAAAAAAAAATATTGTATTTATAGGACCCTAAAAAGAAAAAAGTAACTCCAGATTGTGACACAAAATTGTTCAGTAAAATAGTGCAGTGGAAATGTTTCCTAAAAAAGCAAAGAGAATCCCCCCTCAATCCAAACTAAGGGCTCATTCATTCCATGTGCGTTGCGCTGCATTTATTAGCACCGATCAACGCAGGCTCAAACGCAATAAATGTTCTCTATATGCCAAAACATACAGTACAGGTATGTTACATGAAAATTAAGCCTGTCTGAATTTTTACATTTCACAACACACCGCAGCCCGCTGTTGTGCATAGAGTTGAATTAAGTTTCATTTTGTGAATTTTGGAATTCAAGCTTAACATTACTTATTCTTAAAAATGTTCCCGTCCTCACACTAAATCATCTATTAAGAGCGATCTCTGAAATCAGGGAAATGAATATCTTACAGCTCTATTTGGGAACCATGGGATCATTCTCCCTTTACTGGATTGAGATGTCTCTTTGCTGAATATATGGGGCTGTCTCTTTGCTGGATTGGGATATCTCTTTGCTCTAGTGGGAGTGAGCGGACCCTGTGGAATGTTAGTGGTCAAGGGTGGTCAAGCCCAGGCCTAAAGCAGTATGGGGCCCCAAAATTGCTGATGGCTGCCCTGCTTAGTGGATGACTACTCAGGTCATTTTCGATCTATTTGGGAACCATGGGATCATTCTCCCTTTGGTACACTTCCTTCCTTTCCCCCTCTCTCCCCCCTCCCCCCCCCCCCCCCCCATCCTTATATAGCTCAGACACCTCTTTACTTACCAAGGCTCTGACAACTAATGTAACCCAACAATGTGCAGGTTTATGGCGTTTTGTGTTTTTGTATTGTACATCATTTTACCATGCTATCTGTCTCTTTGCTGAATTGGAATATCTCTTTGCTCTAGTGGGAGTGGGTGGGCCCTGTGGAATGTTAGTGGTCAGGCCCGGGCCTAAAGCAGTATAAAGGGGCCCCAAAATTTCTGATGGCTGCCCTGCTTAGGGGTGTTCACAATTAAGCTGGCAATACACTGTAAGATGTTTAAAGCTAAATAAGAGAAATCACCAAATTCCCCCATCAGTGCTAAACAGCATGGATGGACAAATCTCTCCTGCCAGCTATTGTATTCATTCAGTCGGCACCCATGGCTGTCAGAATATCCAAACAGTGCCTATATCTAATTGGATGCAGCCGTTGTTCAGATGACAATTTTTGTTGGGTCAGGGGGGGAAGATGCCTACAGGACCAGCCATGGCTCAAATTAGGACTGGTTCATCAGGAAGAAGTTGAAATATGCTCCGTGTATTGGCGGCTGTAGAATAGGGTATTACTGAAGTCTGGATATTAAAGCAAAATTCTAAGCTAATCCTAAGTAGTCCTAAATATGATCCCTCCCAACGCCTATGCTGGATAACCTGTGTGAGTAAGATGTATATAGTTACCTAATTTTCAGGCCTCTCCCGTGATCTGGCTCCCCAGACTGTGTCAGACAGTGGTAGCTGCAGGAGAGAGGAGGGAGCACCAATGACGGATGGGCCATAGGAAGCCAAAGAGCGATGTCACCACTACAGACTGCCCCTAACCAGACTGTACCAGCCATTGCCAAGTGCTCTCTCCTCTCCCCTGCAGCTGCTGCTGGCTGACAAAGGGGTTCAAGTAAAGGACGAGAGCGACTTGAAAATAGGCAAGTGTATACAGATTAGCCAGCATAAGTGTTAGGAGGGGGGAGGGAGCGTATTTAAGACCATTTAGGATTATTCTGGAATTCTACTTTAAGGTGCAAATCCAACTAGAATTTTTATTATAGAGTTCAGAAGAACTGAGAACCCTTTTTGGGTTTTACGGTTATCCGGTGTTACAGATTTCCCTTCACCTACTAGGTGGGGGTAACAAAGGTGTCACCAAACAAAAACTCTGGGAAAACATGCAACAAAAGACATAGACAAAAATACTGTATAGTAATAAATAACTATATAAAATGCATTTAAAAAGCACATTCAGTTTTAAGGCCATTATTTGCTGGCAAACATTTTATTAAAGGGTTGCAGTGCAAGCGCAATCTGACCGCCCTCAGGCATCTGCCTTCATGCACTTCTTCCCTCAATGCAAAAGAGTGGCTCAACCAAACATCCTGGTGTGACCTATATGGCGGGAGAAGGCTCTAACCCTAGGTTCACATCTGTGCGGGTGGTGCCGCTGCAGATCTGAACGAAAATCCGTGCAGCCGCACCGAGAGAAATGCGGACCCGTGGGCGGGTGCCATTAGTTCTAATGGTACGCCGCCCGCACTGGAAAACGCAACCGTGGGGAACCGAGGTTCCCGTGCGGACTGCGTTGTTAGAAGAAGTGCAGGGACTTCTTTCCCTGCATGTCACGGGCGTGGGAGTCCATTCAAATGAATGGGCTCTCGTGTCCGTGCAAAACGCGGCCCACATGGCCGCATATATGTGAACCGGGGGTAACATACAAGTCCAAGAGTAGCTTATCCAGGGAGCGATCATAAAATGTTTTTAAACTAATCTGTTCAGTATTTTTGCCAACAGCTTAGACTATCAGTGTTTGCAGCAACCTCAGACATCAACCAATCAGAAAACCAACTTTCAGCTACACAGAGTCTACATATTTGTAATGGCATATTTATTATAAAATGTAAACTCTGACTGGTTGCTGTAGGTTACTGCACTTCTAAGCAATTAGCCTCGGTTCACACTAAATGCGTCTTTCAAAGTCGCCGGTCAATGCGATTTCATGTGCGGCTTCATGCACAGATGTCAATGCAAGTTGCACATGAAATCGCCAAAATTACTGCAAGAACCTTCTTCAAATGTGGCACAAATAGGGTGCAACTTGTCATGCACTTTTGAACTGTCAAATCGCATTGGTGTGAACGGGGGGGCTCAAGGTTGAAAACGCACTTTTTTTGGTAAAATCAGAGCCATTTCTATTGTAAATTCATAATGCAAAGATTTTACGGTGATTGGAAAAAGCAGGGGATACATCATGGATTGAACCCTTATATGAAAAGGAACAATTCATATACATGCAACTGAAGGATATTGAAAATGCCCGTAGTCTATGAGGATAAGGCCGGGATAGAGCAAAATGCACATCAGGGATGCCATCTGAAACGAAGAAAATAAAAAAATTAATCTTCCACAAAGTTTTTAGGATAAACTTTAGAGGTCAAAAAGCATGAACTCTCCAATTCATTTTCTAGTATAGTGCATTTTCAGCGAGCATTGAAGTGCTTACCTTGAAGACTTTTTTTTTTTTACATGACTTTCACATTTGTACATGTTTGCTCTTCCACATTTCACTTATAGGCAGGGGCAGACTGACCATTTGGAAACTCGGGCACTGCCCGAGGGCCGGGGTCAGTAGGGGGCCCCATGAGATGCCCCTGGTACCTTTTTCATAGGCTTTTTTGAGTTTGGGCAAGGACACAGGGGCCCCATGATCCCCTATTGCCTGGGGGGCCCCATGAGTTGTCAGTCCACCCCTGCTTATAGGGGTTATTTACTAAAAATGGAGAGTGCAAAATCTGATGCAGCTCTGCATAGAAGCCAATCAGCTTCCAAGTTTTAGCCCTGGTTCACATATATGAGGCCGTGTGGGCCGCGTTTTGCACGGGCACGAGAGCCCATTTATTTGAATAGGCTCCAGTGCCCCGTAACACGCAGGGAAGAAGTCCCTGCACTTCCTCTGAAAACGCAGCCCATACAGGAACCTCGGTTCACAGCACGGTTGCGTTTTTCAGTGCGGGCGGCGTGCTATTAGAAGTAATGGCACCCACCCGCGGGTCCGCATTCCTCTGTGCGGGTGGTGCGGCTGCGTGGATTTTCGTGCGGATCCGTAGCGGCACCACCTGCACATATGTGAACGTAGGGTTATTGTCTAAGCTTCATTGAACGAACTGAAGTTAGAAGCTGATTGGTTACTATGCACAGCTGCACCAGATTCTGAGTGCAACAGTTTAAGGCCCTCATACGGGCGTTCCTTTTTTGTCATCAGTTCAGTCACATTTTTTCAAAAAAAAAGCGGATCAGTTTTTACATCCTTTATCAATGCAAAAACTGACCGTATGTCCGTTTACATCCATTTTTCATCCGTTCTGTGTTTTTGTTTTTTTACATAAGAAAATAAAAATAGGGCTTTCTTCCGTTCAAAAAAAAAAAACCACATGTTAACAGATGTGGACATTTACAGATGTAAACAGATGATCGTCCGCTTACATCTGCTAGTCCATAGAAATACATGGGTATTAAATGGACGGATGAAAAACAAACATACATGTGAAAGGACTGTTAGTAAAATCTTCTTAGGAGTTTATTTACTAAAGCTGGAGTGCGCAAAATCAGGCTCACTTCTGCATAGAAACCAATCCGCTTCCAGGTGTTATTGGCAAAGCTTAATTGAACAAGCTGAAGTTAGAAGCTGATTGGTTTCTATGCAGAAGTGAGACTGATTTTACACTCTCCAACTTTAGTAAATAAACCCCAAAGTGTCAATAAACCTACAAATTATTTCTGCATTAAACACTTTTCTACCAGGGCAATTTCTACATTTTTGCACATGTTAAAATCTGCAATATTTTCTAGAAATTATGGTAAACCCCGAATAATATATTTTTTGAAAGCTGAGGTCCCGTAGAATGAAATACAGGCATACCTCGGTTTACTAATTTAATTCGTTCTGCGGGACTTTTCGTATTGTGAAAAATTCGTAAACCAAAAACGCGGTTTCCCATAGAGGTTAGAAAACAGTAAAAAAAAAAAAAAAAAAAAAGTCTTTTTATCTGTTCAAAACTCTTTATAAAGTGCACTTTAAAGGCATAAATACTGTACAGGGACATGATTAAAAAAAATTAATACATGCATTGAAAACCAATTAATCCGTTTCGGAGGTCAGACAAAAGTCAAAAAAAGTTTTATCGGTTCAAAACTCTTTATAAAGTGCACTTTAAAGGAATAGTACTGTACAGGGACATGATTAAAAAAAAATTCATAAATGCATTGAAAACCAATTAATCTGTTCGTATTGCGAAAAAAATTCATAAACCGAGGCATTATTTTCAATGGATTTTCATTCGTAAACCGAAAATTACGCCGTTAACCAAGGCGTTCGTAAACCGAAGTACGTCTGTAGTGGAGGTTGCAATTTTTTTTACGTTGCACAATATTTACGCAACTCACTCCCAGCACATAAAGTTAAAACCCACCCCTTTGTTGCCGCACATATGTGATAGGTGGTCGTGAAAGTGTTAAAGGCTTTGACAAAGTTGTTTGAAGCTGATTAAAATAATTAAAATGCTTTGTAAAAGTTTGATGTACACTCTGATCTTATACAAGCTGTAGCCTTTAAATACAAGGCCTCATAATGTGAGTTCTACTCCCTAATGACAACTAATGATCCCTAATAGCTGAATAAATGTCTGCAGAAACTACCCATATCTGCCAACACCAGCTCCTGCAAAATACTGGTTACAGTCTTCACAGCTCTAAAGGACATTTTCTGAAAAATACTTCTTTTCTTTCAGAAAGACATCCCCTCCTGTATTTTGTAGGGATGTTAAGGTGAATTCCACTAAATTTTATAAATGGGTCATTGAAATGAGGTCTCCCTTACTAGCTCTCCTCCAGACAGAAGCAGGCTATGCAAAGTGGCCTGGACATGTATTTGCCTGACCCCAGACTCTTTGCAGGTTATACCAAAGTGTTGCCCAGCCAGTTGGAAGATAGAATCCTAACAGGATGTTCTGGGTTTGGTCAAGAACTTCCTTTTAGTTGGGATTCCTAACATGGATGCTGGGAGAACTTCCAAGGGGGCATCACTAGCTCATATGGGAGATCCAAGATGCTCCTTACTGACACTCCGGAAAGGCAAATTCCAAAGTGCTAACTGTCACTGATTATTTTGGCACAGCAATAGTCCATGAGGAGGTTTCAAGCCAGCTTTATGACCGCTTTTTCTTAGTTATTTGTCTCTTTGGGGTTTATTTACTAAAGCTGGAGAGTCCAAAATCAGACTCACTTCTGCATAGAAACCAATCAGCTTCCAGGTTTCATTGCCAAAGCTTCATTGAACAAGCTGAGGTTAGAAGCTGATTGGTTTCTATGCAGAAGGGAGTCTGATTTTGGACTCTCCAGTTTTAGTAAATAAACCCCTTTGAGTCTACAAAAGTCCTTATCTATTTTTTTTTTAACCCTGGAGGAGGAGGAGTGTTTTTGGCCACTGAAATGCATTGGCTGTTTTGTGATCACATTTTTAACAAACAAAAACATCTTAAAATCATCCTTTAGATTGTAAGCTCCACGAGCAGGGCCCTCCTATTCCTTCTATACTGAAATGTATTGTAATTGTACCGTCTCACTTATATTGTAAAGCGCTGAGCAAACTGTTGGCGCTATATAAATCCTATATAATAATAATAATAATAATATTTGCACGCGTGTTCAAGAGAGCAATTTTAACTCCTCACGGGGTAGTTTTGCAGGCCGATGATGCTCCATAAATATCTTTCCTCTGTTTCAGACAGCAGCAGGAGATGCCAGGCTGAGTGGGGGACTCTGCTACATATTTTCTGATCCTGCTCCAAACTGGAGCAATTCTGGAAGGAGATGCCAGGGGGAGTGGGGGACTTCTTGGGCAATTCTGGAAGGAGATGCGTAGAATTGCGCAAACATTTACCGATTATATCCTTCCAGAGGACCCAGCTTTTTACCTCTCTTTCATGTTTCTACCATACCCCAAAAAACGTACAAACCATGTTTACTCGCAGATGGATGCACACATGTTCCGTGGATCCCCGTGCAGGTAGTTCCATTGATGTCAGTTGGGTCGCGGTGGCTGCAAGGACACAGCCACTGCTCCCAATCTGACATTTGCGTCGGTGAGTGTCCCGAACTCGACAAAGTGTTGAGCACAGTATGGTTCTGCTTGGAAAGTTGTAAGACAGCTAATAAACTTAGCACTGTGCTTTGGTATTGTGAGGGGAAACTGAACACTTAGGCTTGGTTCACATATGTGCGGGTGGTGCCGCTGCGGATCCACACGAAAATCAGTGCAGCCGCACCACCCGCACAGAGGAATGCAGACCCGCGGGCAGGTGCCATTAGTTCTAATGGCGCGCCGCACGCACTGGAAAACGCAACCGTACTGGGAACCGAGGTTAATGTGTGTGCTGCGTTTTCAGAAGAAGTGCGGGGACTTCTTTCCCTGCATGTCACGGGGCATGGGAGTCCATTCAAATGAATGGGCACTCCTGCCCTTGCAAAACGCGGCCCGCAGGAACGCGGATATGTGAACCAGGACTAAACGGAATCCCACACAGACATAGGATGAACATACAAACTCAATGCACACACAGCCCTCTTGAGAAATTAACCAAGGACTCTGATGCTACAATGCTAAACACAGTGCTAAACAGCAAGGAATATCAGTTATACGTCTCCCACTAGGTGAGGGCAACACAGAATGTTCAGTCAACACTTACTCTTCTCTTGGGAGTTTCTTGTAGATAGGAACAATACAGGATAACCGCAGGGATGTAAATGAGCAAGTCAGCCACTAGAACTGGAAGAGAAAGATAGAAAATGATATATGGATGCTTCGCTTCGAAGTGTGCACTGAACAAATCCACTAAGATTTCTCATCACACATGCAGAACTAACTAGATATTTAAAAGAGAAGTTTTTTTTATCATACTCACCTAGGTGGATGCAGCATTGATCTGTTGCTGCAACCTTCCCCCGCCACTTCTAAGACTGAGAACTGAGCGAACAAACAACGCTGATCACTCAGTTCTCAGCCTTCACGGAGCAGAGAGCCGGTGACTGGCAGTCACCGGCTCTCTGCTCTGCTCTCCCAGCACTAACTGAGAGAGAGAGGCTGAGCCAGCTGCCAGTCCAGGCTACTGGGGGTATCCTGACCTTAAAGTCGGGATCCTTCCGCAGCCTGGACCAGCTGAGTGACATCAGCTGAGTGCTTCAGCCTCCTGTCAGCTGAAAACAAATCACAGGAGTGTAGAACAAACTGCACTCCTATGATCCACAGGACAAGCAAAGCCAAATGAGCTTTGGTTATACTTCTCCTTTAGACTTACATACAAACAATCATGAACACCTGCCAATCATACCTGAATGAGCTTATTAAGCAATTTAAATTTGAAAACTATAGGTATTACTATAGATCCACCCCCTCCCTTCCCTTGCAAATATACCAGCCTCCACTCTACTTGGATGACATCCCACAAGATTTTAGACTATCTGTGGGGACTTGTACCCATTCAGTCAAATAAGCATTTGTGAGGTCAGGTACTGACGTTGGATGAGAAGTCCTGGCTCCCAAATGGTGTTTCAATTAATCTCAAAGGTGTTCAATGGGGTTGAGATCAGGGCTCTGAGCAGACCACTGGAGTTCCTCTATAGCAAACCATGTCTTTATGGAGCTGGCTTTGGGCACAGTCAAGCAGGGACAGAAAAGGGCCTCACCCAACACAAGGTTAGAAAAGAACAAATGTCTAAAATGTCTTTGTAGGATTACTCCTCTTGTCCTGATGACCATTATCACACAGACCATTATCACATTATGCTCTACCCAAAAAAAAATTGACTAGAGGTACTTAAAGACTTAAGAAAAAAAAAAAAAAGGAGAGAGCTGCTGGTAAGTATAGCATTAATGATGTTTAACTGCTTCCTGACCGCTCTATAGCAGAACTACTGCTACAGGGCAGCAGGGCTGTTCAAAATCACATATATATATATATATATATATATATATATATATATATATATATATATATATATATATATATATATATATATATACACAGTGGGGATCGAAAGTTTGGGCAACCCAGCTAAAAATTTGTATTAATGTGCATCAAGAAGCCAAGGAAAGATGGAAAAATCTCCAAAAGGCATCAAATTACAGATTAGACATTCTTATAATATGTCAACAAAAGTTAGATTTTATTTCCATCATTTACACTTTCAAAATAACAGAAAACAAAAAAATGGCGTCTGCAAAAGTTTGGGCACCCTGCAGAATTTATAGCATGCACTGCCCCCTTTGCCAAGCTGAGACCTGCCAGTGTCATGGATTTTTCTCAATCATCATCTGGGAAGACCAGGTGATGTCAATCTCAAAGGTTTTAAATGCCCAGACTCATCTGACCTTGCCCCAACAATCAGCACCATGGGTTCTTCTAAACAGTTGTCTAGAAAACTGAAACTGAAAATAGTTGACGCTCACAAAGCTGGAGAAGGCTATAAGAAGATAGCAAAGCGTTTTCAGATGTCAATATCCTCTGTTCGGAATGTAATTAAGAAATGGCAGTCATCAGGAACAATGGAAGTTAAAGCAAGATCTGGAAGACCAAGAAAAATATCAGACAGAACAGCTCGCAGGATTGTGAGAAAAACAATTCAAAACCCACGTTTGACTGCACGATCCCTCCAGAAAGATCTGGCAGACACTGGAGTTGTGGTACACTATTCCACTATAAAGAGATACTTGTACAAATATGGTCTTCATGGAAGAGTCATCAGAAGAAAACCTCTTCTACGTCCTCACCACAAAAATCATCGTTTGAACTTTGCAAATGAACATATAGACAAGCCTGATGCATTTTGGAAACAAGTTCTGTGGACCGATGAGGTTAAAATGGAACTTTTTGGCTGGAATGAGCAAAGGTACATTTGGAGAAGAAGGGGCACAGAATTTAATGAAAAGAACCTCTGTCCAACTGTTAAGCATGGGGTTTGATCAATCATGCTTTGGGGTTGTGTTGCAGCCAGTGGCACAGAGAACATCTCGCGAGTAGAAGGAAAAATGGATTCAATAAAATTTCAGCAAATTTTGGATGGTAACTTGATGCCATCTGTGAAAAAGCTGAAGTTAAAGAGAGGATGGCTTCTACAAATGGATAATGATCCTAAACACACCTCAAAATCCACGGGGGATTACATCAAGAGGCGTAAACTGAAGGTTTTGCCATGGCCTTCACAATCTCCTGACCTCAACATAATTGAAAATCTATGGATAGACCTTAAAAGAGCAGTGCGTGACAGACAGCCCAGAAATCTCAAAGAACTGGAAGACTTTTGTAAGGAAGAATGGGCAAAGAAACCTCAAACAAGAATTGAAAGACTCTTGGCTAGCTACAAAAAGCGTTTACAAGCTGTGATACTTGCCAAAGGGGGCAGTACAAGATATTAACTCTGCAGGGTGCCCAAACTTTTGCAGACGCCATTTTTTTGTTTTCTGTTATTTTGAAAGTGTAAATGATGGAAATAAAATCTAACTTTTGTTGACATATTATAAGAATGTCTAATCTGTAATTTGATGCCTTTTGGAGATTTTTCCATCTTTCCTTGGCTTCTTTATGCACATTAATACAAATTTTTAGCTGGGGTGCCCAAACTTTCGATCCCCACTGTATATATATACACACACACAAACACACACACGTGTGATTTTGCATTTCCGGCTAGCGGGCGCGCAAGCCGCCCTACCCGCACCACCATTGGTGGCTACAGCTGCCGATCGTCGGGTCCTGGCCGGAGATTCCCCGCCGGCACCTGGCGATTGCTGAGGAACACTGACAGGGGAGAGGTCTGTATGTATGTAAACAATACAGATCTCTCTCCTGTCAGCATCAGTATGCTGCTTTGTATTGCTCTTGCATAGTAAAACACACACAGGCCACATAGTAAAACTGCACACAGTTAACCCTTTGATCGCCCCAGATGTCAACTCCTTCCTGCCCAGTGTCATTAGTACAGTGTCATTGCTTTTTATTAGTTCGTCAGTTCCCCCCAGAGTGAGAATGCCCGCCGCAGTCCGGCTATAAGTCGCTGATCGCCGCCATTACCAGTATAAAAAAAATAAAACAAATTCCAGTATCTACACCGCTATTTGTAAACGCTATAACTTTCATGCAAACCAATTAATTTACACGTATTGGGATTTTTTTTTTTTAACAAAGACATGTTACAGAATAAATTTTGGACAAAATTTATGGCAAAATTTTATTTTTTTTATTTTTTTACTGGACAAGTTTTATAACAAAAAGTCAAATATATATATATTTATTTTCAAAATTGTCGGTCTTTTTTCGTTTATAGTGCAAACACATACATTTCATTTGGGTGCAGCGTTGCATGACTGCGCAACTGTCAGTTAAAGGAACGCAGTGCTGTATAGCAAAAAATGGCCTGGTCAGGAAGGGGGGTAAATCCTCTGAAGGGTAAGTGGTTAATCATTGTAAAAATTCTTCTCTCACAACAGATTATCTCAAGTGTCCAGCTGACAAGGTCAGGAAAATGGTGGGCACACACTTTTTATTTCCAGCGCTAAAAGCACCATGCTTTGGAGACAACAGCCAGATTCAAGGCACAGAAAAACAAACAATGTACTGTATATTTCTGTGCATATGTATAAATGTCTATCAAACCACATGTATGGGCAGCACAGTGGCTAAATGGTTAGCACTTCCTCCTGGCAGTACTAGGGTCGTTGGTTCGAATCCCAGCCACGGCACCACCTGCCTGGAGTTTGCATGTTCTCCCTGTGCATGCGTGGGTTTCCTCCCGGTACTCCAGTTTCCTCCCACACTCCAAAGACATGCTGGTAGGTTAATTGGCTCCTGTCTAAATTGCCCCTAGTATGTGTATGTATGAATGTGAGTTAGGGACCTTAGATTGTACGCACCTTGAGGGTTAGGGACTGATGTGAATGTACAATATATATGTAAAGTGCTGCGTAAACTGACAGCGCTATATATGTACCTGAAATAAATAAACATGCATGCATCTGCAAAGGGTGAGCTAGCCCTCATCCATCGCAGCTGGCAATAGGAAAATATGTTGTAAATGTATAAAGCTGCAGGAACCTCAGGAGTGACCACTAGCAATATACGTACCAGTCGCACGCATGAACAGCTTGTGCTCGGGGCTTTCGTATCCTCTGGATGACGTTAAGGCCACCCAGTCTGGATTGATGGCACGGGCTCTACAACAATAAATATATTATATAATTATCAGCACCAGATAACCAGGAGAGGCCAGAGAGAACAATAACTTCTACTGGAGATTAAAAATAAACTTCACTAGATAACAAGTAACAAAGTAAACCACAACATAAGTCAGATGTATACTCTGCAAACTAAGGGCTCATGCATCCAGGTGTATAGTTTTCTGCATTATTATTATTATACAGGATTTATATAGCACCAACAGTTTATTCACCACTGGGATTTTTATTTTTTTTGCTATATAAATGAAAAAGTCCAAACATTTTGAAAAAAAAAAAAAAAAGTGTTTTTCTTGTAAAATTTTGCTAATAAACAATCTTTCTTCATGAATCTTGGCCAAAATGTATTCATCTATCTTTTCAGTAAAAAAAAAAAATAAAAAAAAATTAGTTTATAACCAAAAATTATACATTTTTAAAAAAATGTTTTTACATTTTTATTTAAAAATTTTTATATTATTATTTATGTTTTTTTAACATACTGTCACTCTAGCAGTACATTGTCACCATAGTGACACTGTACTACTTGTGGGGGGTGATGAAGATTTTTTTTTTTTCTTTTTTTACACTGATTGCTTTTACACCCATAAAGGCTGTAAATGCAATCATTTCTCCTTCTCTCTGGCTGCATTCTTGCAGCCATTGAGCAATACTGCGAGAGCTGTGATTGGTCACAGCTTGTCACATGGTACAAGGCTGTTGTGAATAGCCCTGTACCATGTGACCTCTGTGATCATTCACAGATTTCACAAGTAGTAAGCAATGATGTCAAGAAGTGACATCTTGTTTACTATTGTCCATGTGATCACTGATTGGCCAATCAGTGATCACATGAATTGGAACCTCACACAGAGGTCCCGTACAGCGATCTGTGTTCGTGGTGCCGCGTGCTCCCAGGGAGCGTGCACAGGTAATGGATGCGGGGGGACGTTTAGAAACGTCCCCCCGCATCGGCAGCGCACCTGTTGGGCCGTTTATCGACATGGGCCGGACAGGAGAGGTTAAGATTGCACTGGTACTCACTGCAGATCACAAGTCAGGACAAGGCTATCTATCCAGTGTATATGGACCCGGATCCATAGGATATGCTGCTGCTCAGGGCTAACATGCAAGTATCAACAAAGTTCCACTGCATAACACACTAATATATATATATATATATATATATATATATATATATATATATTTACATGTTGCCTCAGAATGGGGCATGTGTGTGTTGGCGCATGCGTAGAACGACCAGCATTCAGTCGTTCTGAACATGAAGACTCATTCAAGACTGAGATAAAAATAAATATTGTGTAATAAGCAGTGCAAAAATTAAAAATTTTAAAAAAGTTCTTAGTATTTGTCACTTACATGTACCCGCAGAGAAGGCTGTGATAGGCTGTCAGAGGGGGGTAATCCAGACCCCAATAGAGCAGGTCATTGTCAGTTGAGTTGAAGTACCTGTATAAAAGGCAAACACAAACAATTTCAGGATGGCTCTGAAATTACAAGACATTCAGGCAGAGCACTAAACAAAGGGATAAAACTTCATAAGGAAGCGCAGGTAAAAAAGGGGTTTTGCTTTCCTGATTCTTGATTATTTGTTAAAACTGAACTCCAAAAAAAGTAAAAATGCTCCCTTGAAGTGAGGCAAGGGAGCCCCCTGCAAGGGTTCAGTGCTTGTTCATGTCTAGGGGACTTGGAAAAGCAGTTGTACTGATCCTTCGAGCTGCTAGATCGGTTGCTGCACTCCGGTGGTCTAAGGTCCTCTGACATCATCAACACCAATGCAGGGCCTGCAGCTATGCCTTGGGTGTGAGGATGCGTAGATACTGTCCACCCCTGGAGAAGAGGATTGGGTGAGCACAAGTGATGTTCCCATCCCCTATACAGAAATGAGCATTTAAACCTTGAGAGGTGGGCACAGCATCAACACAAGGGAGGATTTTTACTTTTCCCAGAGTTTGGTTTTAAGCACAAATCTTATGGGCGGCACAGTGGCTTAGTGGTTAGCACATCTGCCTTGCAGTAAATGGGTCATGGGTTCTATTCCTGACCATGGCGCCTCCTGCATGGAGTTTGCATGTTCTCCCTGTGCGGGTTTCCTCCGGGTACTCGGGTTTCCTCCCACACTCCAAAGACATGCTGGTAGGTTAATTGGATCCTGTCTAAATTGGCCCTATATGTGTATGTATGAATGTGAGTTAGGGACCTTAGATTGTACTCCCCTTGAGGGTTAGGGACTGATGTGAATGTTCAATATATATATGTGTAAAGCGCTGCGTAAATTGATGGCGATATATAAGTACCTGAAATAAATAAATAAATATAGAAAGAATCTATAGCTTTAATAATCTTGTATTCATTTTTGTGGGGAGCCACCATCTTTGTCTCTTTTGGGCAGATGAATTAGGACCTCATTGACATTAACTATGGCTACCCCGGGACTCTATTAAGTGGTGTAGAAAACACACATTTACAGCATATTACCCATTCAGAATTAAAGTGGTTGTAAACCTCAGACATGAAATATGAACAAAGCATATCCCTGTATAGTGTGTACTTGTCTTAATCCACAGCACTAGCTGCCATTTCTGTCTGCTGCCTTGTTCCTCTGCTATCTGCATGAGTCGCTTCTGACAAGTTTTCCTGACACCAAGCATGAAATGATGACAGGGGAGGAACCTCCAGCAGATTGACAGCCTCAGCTCTGTTTCTGAGTGGAGGGGGTGTGTCCCTTTCCTCCAATCAGCTCTAAGAGCTCTCCAGAGTGTAATTTTAGCTCCCTGCCCCCTGCTTTCTGGAAGCTCAGACAAGCTTTATAAATTCTGGATTTTGAATGGATGTAGAGAAGAGAGGACCGCAGATAAACAGGTACAACTTAGGTAGGAAGATTTGTTTCATCTCTGTGTATCACCTGAGGCCAGTCACTTCACTGGGTATATGGAAGGGTTTACAACCACTTTAAATAAGCATGGCATGAACAAGCCCTTAAACAGCCGTGGCAAAAGGTTTTGAGAATGACACAAATGCGAAGTCTGCTGCTTCCGTGTTTTTCGATCTTTTTGTCAGACGTTACTCTGGAATACTGAAGTAGAATTACAAGCATTTCATGAGTGTCAACGGCTTTTATTGACAGTCACATGAAGTTGAAGCAAAGAGCCAATATTTGCGGGGTTGATCCTTCTTTTTCAAGACCTCTGCAATTCTCCCTGGCATGCTGTCAGTCAACTTCTGGGCCACATCCTGACTGATAGCAACCCATTCTTGCATAATCAATGCTTGGAGTTTGTCAGAATTTGTGAGGTTTTTTGTTCACCCGCCTCATGAGGATTGACCAAAAGTTCTCAATGGGATTAACATCTGGGGAGTTTCCTGGCCATGGACCCAAAAAAAAACCCCCAAAAAGCACTGACACTGTACTAATGGCACTGGGCAGGAAGGGGTTAACATGAGGGGCAATCAAAGGGTTAACAGTGTGCCGTTTCACTATAAGCTGTGTGCTTCACTGTAATCACACTGCTTTGCATGGCTGTGCTGTGCACAGACATCCAAAGCAGTGTGCATGAGCTGACAGGAAGGAGAACTGTTTTGTTTACAAACAGTTCTCCTCTCCGTCAGAGATGCTCGGCGATCACTGGACGGGACCCGGTGATTTGCAGTCGAGAATAACGGCACGGGTAGAATAACGGCACCCCCTACCCAAAAATGAAAAATCATGTATATATCTGTGATTTTGCGCACCCGTGCTGCCCTGTAGCAATATTTCTGCTATAGGGCGGTTGTGAAGTGGTTAACAACTTCCAGTCCGGACACTTTCACCCCCTTCCTGTCCAGGCCAATTTTCAGCTTGCACGGTCATGCAACACTGTACGCTTATGAATTTTTTTGAGACAGATAAAGCTTTATTTTGGTGGTATTTATTCACCGCTAGGATTTGTATTTTTTTGCTATGTAAATGAAAAAAAGTCCAAAAATATTTTTAAAAAGTGTTTTTCTTATAAAATTTTGCAAATACCGTATTTTTCGCTCCATAAGACGCACCTAGGTTTTAGAGGAGAAAAACAAGAAAAAAAATATTCTGAACCAATGGACTGCAGACACAGTACAGGGGATGACCAGAGACTGCGGACACAGTACAGGAGATGACCAGAGACTGCAGACATAGTACAGGGAATGACCAGAGACTGCAGACATAGTACAGGGAATGACCAGAGACTGCAGACATAGTACAAAGGGATGACCAGAGACTGCAGACACAGTACAAAGGGATGACCAGAGACTGCAGACACAGTACAAAGGGATGACCAGAGACTGCAGACACAGTACAGGGGATGACCAGAGACTGCGGACACAGTACAAAGGGATGACCAGAGACTGCAGACACAGTACAAAGGGATGACCAGAGACTGCAGACACAGTACAGGTAATGACCAGAGACTGCGGAGACAGTACAGGGGATGACCAGAGACTGCGGACACAGTACAGGGGATGACCAGAGACTGCGGACACAGTACAGGGGATGACCAGAGACTGCGGACACAGTACAGGGGATGACCAGAGACTGCGGACACAGTACAGGGGATGACCAGAGACTGCGGACACAGTACAGGGGATGACCAGAGACTGCGGACACAGTACAGGGGATGACCAGAGACTGCGGACACAGTACAGGGGATGACCAGAGACTGCGGACACAGTACAGGGGATGACCAGAGACTGCGGACACAGTACAGGGGATGACCAGAGACTGCGGACACAGTACAGGGGATGACCAGAGACTGCGGACACAGTACAGGGGATGACCAGAGACTGCGGACACAGTACAGGGGATGACCAGAGACTGCGGACACAGTACAGGGGATGACCAGAGACTGCGGACACAGTACAGGGGATGACCAGAGACTGCGGACACAGTACAGGGGATGACCAGAGACTGCGGACACAGTACAGGGGATGACCAGAGACTGCGGACACAGTACAGGGGATGACCAGAGACTGCGGACACAGTACAGGGGATGACCAGAGACTGCGGACACAGTACAGGGGATGACCAGAGACTGCGGACACAGTACAGGGGATGACCAGAGACTGCGGACACAGTACAGGGGATGACCAGAGACTGCGGACACAGTACAGGGGATGACCAGAGACTGCGGACACAGTACAGGGGATGACCAGAGACTGCGGACACAGTACAGGGGATGACCAGAGACTGCGGACACAGTACAGGGGATGACCAGAGACTGCGGACACAGTACAGGGGATGACCAGAGACTGCGGACACAGTACAGGGGATGACCAGAGACTGCGGACACAGTACAGGGGATGACCAGAGACTGCGGACACAGTACAGGGGATGACCAGAGACTGCGGACACAGTACAGGGGATGACCAGAGACTGCGGACACAGTACAGGGGATGACCAGAGACTGCGGACACAGTACAGGGGATGACCAGAGACTGCGGACACAGTACAGGGGATGACCAGAGACTGCGGACACAGTACAGGGGATGACCAGAGACTGCGGACACAGTACAGGGGATGACCAGAGACTGCGGACACAGTGCAGGGGATGACCAGAGACTGCGGACACAGTACAGGGGATGACCAGAGACTGCGGACACAGTACAGGGGATGACCAGAGACTGCGGACACAGTACAGGGGATGACCAGAGACTGCGGACACAGTACAGGGGATGACCAGAGACTGCGGACACAGTACAGGAGATGACCAGAGACTGCGGACACAATACAGGGGATGACCAGAGACTGCGGACACAGTACAGGAGATGACCAGAGACTGCGGACACAGTACAGGAGATGACCAGAGACTGCGGACACAGTACAGGAATGACCAGAGACTGCGGACACAGTACAGGAGATGACCACAGACTGCGGATACAGTACAGGAGATGACCAGAGACTGCGGATACAGTACAGGGGATGACCAGAGACTGTGGACACAGTACAGGGGAAATGACCAGAGACTGCAGATACAGTACAGGAAATGACCAGAGACTGCGGACACAGTACAGGAAATAACCAGAGACTGCAGACACAGTACAGGGGATGACCAGAGACTGCAGACACAGTACAGGGGATGACCAGAGACTGCGGACACAGTACAGGGGATGACCAGAGACTGCGGACATAGTACAGGGAATGACCAGAGACTGCGGACATAGTACAGGGAATGACCAGAGACTGCGGACATAGTACAGGGAATGACCAGAAACTGCGGACATAGTACAGAAGCCCAGGGACTGCAGACAGTAAAGGAGATTACCAGAGACTGTGGACCTTTGGAGAAGGAGGGGGAGCGGGTACCTGAATTTGACAGGCACCCGCTACCACTTCCGCGGAGTTGTCCTTCCTTCTTCCCGCGGCGGCTTCTGTGACAGCCGGGTGCCCACTGCGCATGCGTGAGAAGCGCTACGCTTTGTGAATGGCCCGGAGCCTTCTGGGACCTGTCATGTGTCCCAGAAGACACCGGACCATTCACAAAGCGCGGCGCTTCTTGCGCATGCGCAGTGGGCACCCGGCTGTCACAGAAGCTGCCACAGGAAGACTGCAGCGGTGGAGCGAGGAACAGGTAAGGTCCTGCAGGAGAGAACAGCTGAGCGGCCGGCCCGGTATTCTGACATGGTGGCGGCAGAAATACCGGACCGGCGCTTTACATTCGCTCCATAAGACGCACTGACATTTTCCCCCCCCTTTTTGGGGGGAAAAAAGTGCGTCTTATGGAGCGAAAAATACGGTAAATAATATTTCATCATAAATCTTGTCCAAAATTTATTTCATTATCTTTTTAGTAAAAAAAAAAAACCCCAAATTAGTTTATAACCAAAACGTATGGTGACACTGTACTACTTGTGGGGGGGTGATGAAGATTTTTTTTTTTTTACACTGATTTTACACCCATATAGGATGTAAAAGCAATAATTTTTCCTTCTCTCTAGCTGCATTCTTGCAGCCATTGAGAAGTGCTGTGTGAGCTGTGATTGGTCACAGCTTGTCACATGGTACAAGGCTGTTGTTAATAGCCTTGTACCATGTGACCTCTGTGATCATTCATAGATTTCCCCCGTAGTAAGCAATGATGTCACAAGTGACATCTTGCTTACTACTCTGCATTTGATCACTGATTGGCCAATCAGTGATCACACGATCGGGACCTCGTACAGAGGTCCCGTCCGACGATCAGTGTTCCACTGTGTCCTGAGGACACAGCGGGCACAGGATTGCGGTGCTGTGCGCTACCAGGGAGAGCGCACAAGCAGCGTGCGGGGAGTCCGTTTATAAACAGCCACCCAACCCTGCACTGCCACCATCTGGCCGTTTATATACAACAGCTGGACAGGAGGTGGTTAATTGCAATTCATCCGATCACTCTTCATAACATTCTGGCGCAAATGCAAAATGCTATGATAAAAACGGAGGTAGCAGACTTTGTGAAAATTAATATTTGTGTCATTCTCAAAACGTTTGGCCACGGCTATAGTTTTGGAACGCTCTAGGAAACATCCACCTGTAAGAAAAAGGTTACGAACAACAGAATATTTATAACATTACTACAGATGTACAAACCATTGTTGGACAGGTAGGTTTAGTGTGACTTCCTGCCAGTGTCTTTGGGCTTCATAGTCTCCAAACATTGGCGGTTTTCTGGCTCCTGTAATAAAATAATACGATCAGTATTCTCTAGTTAACATAGAAGCACATATCAATCTACTACAATGAAACAAAGGGAAAGGGGTCAGGATGTAGATAATGGACACATTCTCAGCCTACAAGTTCATCAAGCCCATTCCTAGCCCCTTAACGTACACTATATTACCAAAAGTATTGCCCGCCTCGAAATCATGTGATTCAGGAGGTCCAATCCCCTCCATGGACACAGGTGTATACAATCAAGCCCCTAGGCACGCAGACGGCTTCTACAAACATTGGTGAAAGAATGGGTCGCTCTCAGGAGCTCAGTGACTCCAAGCGTGGTCCCGTGATAGGTGGTCACCTGTGCAATAAGTCCATCCGTGACATTTCCTGGCTACTAAATATTCCACGCTCAACTGTTAGTGGGATTATAACAAAGTGGAAGAAACTGGGAACAACAGCAACTCAGCCACCAAGTGGTAGGCCACGTCACATGACAGAGCGGGGTCAGCACATGCTGAAGCGCACAGTGCGCAGAAGTCGCCAACTGTCTGCAGAGTCAATAGCTAAAGACCTCCAAACTTGGTGTGTCCTTCAGATGAGCCCAACAACAGTGCGTAGAGAGCTTCATGGAATGGGTTTCCATGGCCGAGCAGCTGCATCCAAGCCTTACATCACCAAGTGCAATGCAAAGCGTCGGATGCAGTGGTGTAAAGTATGCCGCCACTGGACTATAGAGCAGTGGAGACGTGTTCTCTGGAGTGACCAATCACGCTTCTCTGTCTGGCAATCCAATGGACATTTTGTTTAATCCCTAGGATGATAGCTATGATATAGAAATCTCCATTTCCTTGGGCAGTGTGGTGTGCATGCCCCTGTGTGTGCCTTGGCCCGGGGGGCAATGTCCTGTCCCATTGTAACTGCCTCTATCTTTCAGGGTTGAGGTTTTTGGACTGAGCAAACCGCCGGTATTGGTAATTCACATTATTATTATTATTATACAGTATTTATAAAGCGCCAATTGTTCACTCAGCGCTGTACATTACAAAGGGGGACAGAACATGTGACAGAACAATACCAATACAATGCAAAACATGAGGGGATTGAGGGCCCTGCTCCTTGGAGCTTACAATCTAGGAGGGGGGATGGTGGCACAGGAGGAGATAGCTGTGGGGGATGGAGTGGTAGGAAGAGTGGAGGAGGTTGGCAAGTTAGCAGGGGGTGGGGTAGGCTTCCCTGAAGAGATGGGTTTTCAGGGTGCGCCTAAAGGAGAGGAGAGTAGGTGATAATCTGATGGGTTGGGGCAGGGAGTTCCAGAGGATGGGTGACACCCTGGAGAAGTCCTGGAGGCGGGCATGGGAGGAGGAGACCAGGGAACTAGAGAGAAGGAGGTCTTGTGAGGAGCGGAGTGTGCGTGTTGGGTGGTACTTGGATATTAGGTCAGTGATGTAGTTCGGGGCAGTATGGTGGACGGCTTTGTACGTCAGTGTTAGGATTTTGAATTTGATCCGTTGGGCAATCGGAAGCCAGTGGAGGGATTGGCAGAGGGGGGTGGCGGAGATGGAGCGGTTGGAAAGGTGAATGAGTCTGGCAGCCATATTCAGGATGGACTGAAGCGGGGATAGCCAGCGGTGAGGCAGGCCAGTGAGGAGGGAGTTGCAGTAGTCGAGTCGTGATATGATGAGGGAGTGGATGAGCTGTTTAGTGGTTTCTGGGGTTAGGAACGTGCGGATTTTGGCGATGTTGCGGAGGTGGAGTCGGCACGAGTTTGTTAAAGATTGGACTTGGGGCTGGAAGGATAGGTTGGAGTCCAGAATGACACCAAGTACTCTGGCCTGCGGGGCAGGTTTGATGGTGGCGTTGTTGGATGTGATGGAGAAATCAATGGGGGGTGGTGTCCGGGCTGGGGGGAAGACAAGAAACTCGGTTTTGGAGAGGTTCAGTTTAAGGAAGTGGAGCGACATCCAGTCTGATATGTCGCTCAGTAGGTGTGTGATTCGGGCAGAGACCGAGGGGGTGAGGTGGGGGGTTGAGAGATAGATTTGTGTGTCGTCGGCGTAGAGGTGGTAGTCTTGAGAGTGTATGAGTTGGCCAAGGGAGGAGGTGTAGATGGAGAAGAGAAGGGGCCCGAGGACAGAGCCTTGAGGGACCCCAACAGAGAGGGGGAGTGAGGGGGAGGTGGTAGAATTATAGGTAACGCTGAAGGAGCGTATGAACATTATTTAATTATAGAGATTTGTGTCAGTTATAATAGGGTTAACTTATGTTGTTACATAGTTTTTGATGTGAAATAAATGAACTAGTGTTGGAATATACTGTATTATGATCCATTCTGTATCAATTCTGTATTCCCTTCCTTTGAACCCCTGAAGAAGCCAGCTTGGCGAAACGCGTTGGGAATTACCATCATACCACCATCCCTGATTTATGGTGGTCACACTGGTGACCTTTAGGTCATGGTCTGGTATTGTTAACATAGGGAATGTGTGATATGGGATTCACTGTACTGAAGAGCTCGTTCTCTTACCTGATTTTATGGAAGGGTGTGTAATGTGTAATAAAAACTTATATTTTTTATCCATATAGTGTGTCAAAGTTGTTTTCATCCTGAGGGTATATAAGCACCTTTAAAGTCCTTCACGCCTTTGTTTCTATTTGTATACGGTTATATTTGGACACGGTGCTGATGGATCTGACATACCAATTGTGAAGAGCTTAAAGTTTTTAGTCTAAAGTGAACCTGTCCTTTGTCAAACGCAGCAATTCAGAGAACAGCAAGGTGTTGGCCCATAGGTCAGTTTTTTCTGTATACTATATGTAAACCCTTACGTATCCCCTGTGAAGTGCCTCACTGTGATACACAGTGATGAAACAAATCCTACAACATAGGTTCTACCTGTTTATCTACCACCACTACCTTCCCTCTCTATTCTACATCTAACATCTGTTAGAAGTGCAGAATTTATAATGCTTGTTTGAGCTTTCAGAAAGCATGGGGTGGGGAGCTGAAGTCACACTCTGCAGAGCTCAGTGAGAGCTAACTGGTCATGAAGAGACACCCCCCCCCCTTTCCACACAGCACACAGGAACAGAGTTGAGGTTGTCAATCACAGGTTGTGTGCTGGAGCTTCATCCCGTCACCATTTTTCTCTTGGTGTCAGGAAAACTTGTCAGAAGTAACTCATGCTGATAGCAGAGGAATGAACCAGCGGACAGAAAATCGCACTTAGTGCTCTGGATTGATACACTAGAGAGGGATATAGCACTTTAAGGAAGAACCCTACTCTAATACACAGGAGTTTTTACATTGAGGTGCCGTTTCCAAAGCACAACAAATCATCCCTAGTCCAGGCTCACCCTGTATATTTAGTAATATACAAAACTGGTGCTTTTACAAACTCCTGTATGTGTTCACACTCGATCATTACACCCCACGGACAGGAGCACCAGATCCCATGCGAGATCAGAGCAGGGAATGCTACCGCTGCACCTTAATCGTTTATATTTCCTGGTTTAGATCTCCTCAGCGATGACATGATGACACAGACACATGCCACACAAGAGCTGACATTCAAAATTCATATCATCGGTATCAGAGATATGGAGTTCTGCAAAAAAAGTTTAAAAAAAAAAAATGAAGTTTAAGCACTTCCATACCGGGCACTTGTACCCCTTCCTTCCCAGGCCAATTTTCAGCGCTCTCACACTTTGAATGACAATTGCGCGGTCATGCAACATTGTACCCATACTAAAATTTGATCATTTTCTTCACACTAGAGCTTTCTTTTGGTGGTATTTAATCATCGCTGGGGTTTTTATTTTTTGCTAAATTAACAAAAAAAAGACAAAACATTTTGAAAAAAAAAAAACAAGTTTTTCTTTGTTTCTGTTATAAAAGTTTGCAAATAAATAATTGTTCTTCATAAATTTAGGCCGAGATGTATTCTGCTACATGTCTTTGGTGAAAATAACCCAAATTAGGATGTATTTTTTAGTCTGCTGGAAAGTTATAGAGTTCACAAACTATGGTATAGATCTGAATATTGATCAATCCTGAAGTACTGACAGGTCCAAGAATGTCAGAACAGTACAGATATCCCCCAAATGTCAGGACAGTACAGATATCCCCCAAATGTCAGGACGGTACAGATATCCCCCAAATGTCAGGACAGTACAGATATCCCCCAAATGTCAGACACGGACAGATATCCCCCAAATGTCAGAACAGTACAGATATCCCCCAAATGTCAGGATGTCAGAACAGTACAGATATCCCCCAAATGTCAGAACAGTACAGATATCCCCCAAATGTCAGAACAGGACAGATATCCCCCAAATGTCAGAACTTTACAGATATCCCCCAAATGTCAGGACAGGACAGATATCCCCCAAATGTCAGGACGGTACGGATATCCCCCAAATGTCAGAACGGTACAGATATCCCCCAAATGTCAGAACGGTACAGATATCCCCCAAATGTCAGAACAGGACAGATATCCCCCAAATGTCAGAACAGGACAGATATCCCCCAAATGTCAGAACGGTACAGATATCCCCCAAATGTCAGAACGGTACAGATATCCCCCAAATGACCCCTTTTTACAAAGTAGACAGTCAGGCGTATTTCTTAAGAGGCATGGCGAGTTTTTTTGAAGTTTTAATTTTTTTGTCATAATTTTTCGGTAGTTAAGAAATTAAAAAAAATGATTTTCACTATTTTTTTTTTTTTTTTTTTTTACATACTGTCACCAGTGCAGTACAGCGTCATCATATAACTGGCATGGCGGTGATCAGGGACACTGACTGGTGACAGTACAAAAAAAAAAAAATTGATACTTTTTTTTTAATACATTTTTTTCTCTTTAAGATTTTTTTTTCAGATTTCACTATGACCAAAGCAGTACAATGTTACCATAGTAACATTGTACTTCTTTGGGGAAGTGATCAGTATTTTATTTTATTTATTTATTTATTTTTTACACAATTTGCTTATAGCAGAGAATTACTTTGCAATAAACA